GGAGTCAACTGTATGAGTCATCAAGTTGTTTGACAAGAAGGTTTCTGAAAATGAAAGAAGAGTGGAGACATTTCAGAATGTTGAAGGGAAGGTTGAAAATTTTAGAAGCCGCTGAGCAAAAAGTGTTTCAATACAGGAATGCTTTCAGATTTTATGCTGAAGTCTTTATTTCCGATTCTTCTTTTTTTGTCAGTGATGTTAAACAAGACAGATAAATTCTTCAGGTCTTTGTTCTTTGGCTGTATTTTGGGACATGAATATGTTCTTGCTCTCAGGAGAGATATGAAAATAAGTGCCTTGAGGTTTGAATAGCACAGCAGCTACAAAGAAGGCATAACAGGAGATTTGGAACTACTCCCTCCCCAGACTATTCCCAACATCTCTCTCACAGATTTCACCAAAGTTCTTTAATGCAGCCACACATGTCAGGCAGTCTGAGTCCCAGGTGCACCCCCAGAAGTGTTAAGAGAACCATAACAGTTCCCACTCTCACCTTCACTGATTCTCTCTCACTTCATCTCACTGTCCTCCCCAGAGACCACAGTTTTAGCTCCAGTTTTGGCTTCCCTGCCCTCCTTAGTCACAGTTCCTCTGTCCTTGTTCATTGTGTACTCCGGGGGGTTAAACCCAGATGCTGCCTTCTGAACCCTATTTACTTATTGTCTATTGATAAGGGTTTTAAGAGTTTTTAAAATTACCAAAGTACATTTTTATTGTGCTATATAACTAATGATCTAGTTCTTATTTACAAGCATATGTGTGACCTGTTAGTACAAAAAAACCTTTTCTGAACAACCCCATAAATTGCTGTTTGTGTTCATGGACTGTGTGGTTAGGTTTTGAGGGAATTGTCCTTAATGAATTTTTTCTTTATAAGAGAGGAGAACAGCTCACATGAAATGAAAAGTGTGTATTTTAGCATAAAGAGCTTTACTGGCCAAAGAGAACAAGGGAGTATGTTACCGTTTTGCATTTATCTTTTCTCAAATTGTTTTCTAAACTTTAAAAATATTATGTGAGTAACTCACATAAGTTAAACATATCAGCACAAATTCTTTCTCTTGTCTTTTCAGTACTAGATCTGATTTAACTAGTTTTTCCAGTTTTTAGACCCTAAAATGTATTTGAACATAGTTTACCGTGATTTATTTCATTGTGGTAATAATGCACTTTCCAAGAAGGGTTTATATTATGGAGTGTATGCAAATAACCATCTGTTACCCAGACTTCTCCCTAAATAACCCATTATTATTCCTGTTACAGGTTTGCATGATTTAGAACACCCTGATGTATCTTTAGCAGACGAATGGTAAGCCTTAAATAAAGCATGAAATTAGTGTCTGTTACCCCCCTTGGTTTCATATTTTTTTGTGCATGCAGAGCCCAATTCTTTATGGTCAAAGACAAAGAAAGATTGTGCTTGTACATATAACTTTTTACTGTTTTGACAACGTGTTCACAGGTCCTACTGCAACACTGACTTGCACCCTGAGCACCGGCAGATGACTCAGTTGGAAGCAATCAAACGCTACCTCACAGGGAAGGAGCCCCTGCTGCAATGCAAGTACTTGGTTAAACATGGACTTGCAGCTTTAGCCCAGCCAAAAGCTGCCATACTTAACCTTCTACAAAATGCAAAGCTACTTACTTCAACCAGTGATAGGTTTGCTTAGCTGATGTTGCTTTGCAATTTCATACGGTTTTGAGCTTTTCCTCGGGTATCAATAAAAATATTATTATTTCTTAGAATTAATTATGTGTTATTATTAGTAGTATTAATTATGATACAATTTTTCGACTTTTACAGTAAACTATGTGCCAAACATTCAAGTCTGTTCAGATGGTGTAACTCTACTATGCAAAATTATCACTCCATTTTGTTATATAAATTATAGAGAACTAATGGGAATCAATCCTTGGATCATGTTTCTAAAGAATATACCTGATATTTCATGCGTATTTTAGGGAGGACAACTTTGTAATTAGCAATTCTGAACTGCAAAGCAGAATAAAAATTCAAATAAGTGCATATTCTGTATGTTTGCAGAAATGCAGAGCTTTTGTGACTGTTACTAGACCTACTTGTTGTAACCTTATGCCACATGCAGACATGAGCACTAGATAATATATATATTATCTAATATATAATATATAATATATATTAGATAGTATATAACATGAATGAGTTACATAAAATGGAGTATCATTGGGTTTTTTCCTAAAATTGTTGCTAATGAAATGAAATTATATGTGAAAAACTGCATTGTGGTAAAATACAGTGTAATACTATGTAGTAAATGCTTTTTAGTGCAAAAAGTTTGAAAGCATATCACAAGTAAAGTAAAATGTAAGAAAACACTATTGTTGTGTCACCTAAAAAAGTCTTTATATGAACATACATTTACTGATTTTATTGTTCTGTGGCAGGTGATAAAGAATTGATCCAGGAAGTTTTGTTTGATGCTGTTGTGAGTGCACCAATTGAAGCTTATTGGACCAGTCTAGCCTTGAATAAATCAGAGTAAGTTATCTTTGTGTCCATAATTTTTCATCAGTCATGGCTGTATTTTTATTAGTTATGTTACTGAAATAGTGGAATGACTAACAAATCCTGATATGCATGAAAATATTACACTAACTATCTGATCCTAAATACCACCAAGTTTGAGTTCAATCCGAAATGTTTGTCTTGCTGAGTATGTCATGATGATTAGCTGAAAGCTTACCTTATTTCCACAATAAAACTGGTAAAATTGTACCCTAATTGCAACTTAAATTTTTGTGTATTTTTAACAAAGAGTACTTGGGAAATTAAATGCAAAATTTGCCAAAATTATTGATGCAATTGGTACTTTGTCTCAGAATAAATTATCTATAAAAAAATTTGACCTGGAAAATAATTTCTTTAATCCTTGATATATTTATTTTCCAGGACTGCTTGGGATCTAGGCTTTTATTAGAGAGAGGTAGGAGATTAGCCAGTCCTTTTCAGAGTTTATATCTTCTACTTTATTCATTTATGCTATGATGTACTAAGGCGTTAAATAACAAGTTTTTATCCATATTAGAGTAAACAGGTATTAAGCTTAGCAGTTTGCATGAAAGGCAATTCTGGAGATTACCCTGATTAGATTTTCCTAAATTTCAACTATTTTCTAAAAGTTGAATGAAAAAATACGTTGCTGTACAGCATGTACTCCTACTGAATGAAAAAAGCAACATGGTAAGATCTGGTTCATCAAAGATTTATCCAGACTTCTCTGAGAGGATAAAGATAATAAATTGTTGCATGTTAATAAACTCTGGCCATCGAGAGGTGCAAGGTGTCATCCTACACAGTGAAATAATAGATCCAAACACAATCATTCCAAACTGTGGAATGATGCCAGGGACAGACTTTTGAAGCCTTTTCAGATTTTGACTTTGCTTTATTCTGTCTCATTAATGAAACAAGAAAATGATTGTGGTCCCTGTTTTTGTGCTAATGGGACTGAAGTTCTTGCAGCCATACAAGAATTAGTTTTAAAATAGCTTGGTACTCATAACAGTGCAGCAGAGGAGTTCAGGAAGTTTGAGGGTTTTTTTTGAAATTCTAGAGGCTAAATGTTTTTTTTCCCCAAGTTCTAGAGGCTAAAGCCTGTTGTGATGGCAGTTAAGTTTAACTCTCAGCTGCCTGTTTTAAAATGTTTGCTTACCTGAGCAATAGTCACAGCTAAGACTTGAAGCATAAATAGAGCACAGAAATGTTGAATGGACTGGGAGCAAGACCTGGAACTCCTGCCCATCTCAGAATCACTGTGTGTCAGTGGTTATTAAACAGTTTGTATATAGCTGTGCCACACCTTTTTATTCTATTATTATAATCCCTTCCTACAAATCCTACAAAATTTATTTTGTTTGGCTTTTTAGGGATTCTTAGTCTAAATAGCATTTCTACATTGCATATATTCAAAACCCAGATGACTATAACTTAAAAACCAGCATTTAAAAGTGAATCAATAAATAAGGGAACTTTGCTTACAATAAACTTAAAGACATGTACACTTGTGCTTTCTGTGGCAGTGAAGCAGCTTTATCTGTTTACTGTCTGAAGCTGTGTCTCTGCTTGTGCTCTGCTGTGTTTCAGGAACTCTGACAAGGGGGTGGAAGTTGCCTTCCTTGGGACACGGACTGGACTCTCTCGGATTAACCTGTTTGTGGGCCCAGAGCAGCTGACCAACCAGTAAGTAACAAACTGTGCCTGGCAGCCAGGTAAAGAAAAGAGAGGAAAAAATAAGTGTGTTTTTATGAAGCCCATCTACTGTTTTTTCACACAGAACAAATTAGATATCCTAGGATCCTTTAAATTATTTGATTGGGACATTTAGAACAATAATCTATTTTACACCTGTAGCCTATAAATTTGCTTTCCCTGCACACACACCCCCAGCCTCACATCTCTTTTCTTCAGAGCAAATTACAACATGTTACACTTTTTACTACACCACCTGAAAACAAATACCAGGAGGCTTTTTCAAGGATTTTGCACCATTGTTGTGGAAAATATCTTTGGTGTTGAAATCAAGCCAAGGGACAGACTTGGACTGGGTGAAAGAAAAATCAGAAGACCTCATCATACAAGAGTTTCCCAATTTCCTTGGAGAATATGTAAGCTAGTGGAGGTATTATGCATATAATAGAAAATCTGTGTTTGATATTTATGGTAAACTAACTTGATTGAATATAGAGTTCTATGAACTCATCTGAGAACATATTGTTATACAAGTAAGGTGACATCAACAGCACTACAATTTGTTACTGTCAGACAGAAAATTAGAACAACAGAGTGGACATTATACTTGTTCTTGGCATAAATTTTCTTCTGTCAACAGACAGAATTTGCTGAAATTGTTGAGGAATAAAGTATTTAGTTGTCCACTACACCCCCCACATAGTATGTTGAACATAGGCTGTAAAATTACCTTTTTTCATTACCTAAGAGTGAATGCCAGTGGCAACAGACTAGCAAATTTCCAGTGCCTTTTACATGTTGTGCAGCTGACTTTTCTTGTATTTTGCTGAAAGAAAAAGGCTTTTTAGTCTAAGCATTTTTTATTTATACAAATCACTAAACACAATTTCAATGGTACTTAGAGGTACTGTTTTATAGTGCTTTTTACATCCTTCATAACAAAAGTTATTGTGTGTCACAAATAATTATTAGTAACTAAATTTAACTCTTTTGTTGAACAAGTGTTATTAGAAAAATTGTGCCAAACCATTTTCTTTTGTAAAAGATTGCATTTTTTTATTTCTAGCTTTTTTCAAAGCTAGAAACCATTATGTGACATGCAACAAACAACAATTGTTTTCTTTCTCTTTTTTTCTCAAGAGACTTCCTGACAGCTGAAGATAAGGAGAACATTTTTAATGCTGACCATTTTCCACTCTGGTACAGAAGAGCTGCTGAACAAATACCTGGGAGCTTTGTCTACTCAATCCCATTCAGCACAGGTCTGTAATTTTGTCATTCCTTAAATTCTGAACCATGCATGATGCTGAAAGGATCCCAGGAGTGTCAGCACAGTGTCAGTGTTTGTAGCTGATCTCAAATATTGGTCTGAACTAGGCATGGAAATTTGCAGCTACTTCACTGGTCCTTTGACCAGGTGTGTGTTTCATGGGCTGCAAGTGAAACCCCAAAGTGTGGTGTGACATTTTTCATTTAGTATTTGCACAGGTAGAAACATTTTAAACGTTTTAACAAGTGTTTTAAGCAGCACAAGTTCAACAGAGTAAATGTCCACATTATTGAGAAGCCCTACCTGTTGTCACCTTTGCTGCCTCTTTTAGCAGGGGGTGCAAGATCTGATGGCTCATTTCAGTGTTTTAAACTTGTTTTTGGCATGCTGGGGAATTTAAAATGCCAGTGCCAGTATGTTCTGTGCATATATGATGTTTCCTGTTTTATTTTCTGAACTATATATCCACATAGACTTATCTAAAACCAGAGGAAAAAAAAAACCCCTACATTTCCTCATTTTGCAATAGATTGTTTCATTTTTTTTTCCCCTCAAAATACCCCACAGAAACTGCCAACAAGAGCAATGTGGTGACAGCCAGTACTGCTATTCAGCTTCTGGATGACAGGAAATCTCCAGTGGTTGCAGGTACAATTGTTGTAGTTTATTCATTCTGTTATTTTTTTTAAGTCAGCTATGAGTTCCTCACGTTCTCTTTTGGGTTAGCAGGTGTAGATATCAAACATTTTGAGAAGAGAGAGAAGGATGCAGTTGTACCTATAAGATATAATTGGCTGACTAAGTGTGGAGAGCATTTAATACTTCTTCTCCCCAAGAACTTGATCCTTTATTAACTGACTCTCAAACTTCCCTGTGAGCTATTGAGTTTGAATTTATAGAAATTCCCATTATCTGTAAAGCATTTCTGGTAGACACAATTCTACATCATCATAAATCAGATAATTATGATAAGGAAAAGGAAATATAAGAAAGGACTATCTGATGTGCAAATGTTTCACCCAGGCCTCAAGTTTGAAAATTCTGTGCTATAACAGGATTGTTTTATAACAGAATACAATGTGGTGATTTTGTCTAGATTATCAGAGATGTGATTTGTTCAGAGCATAGAAATTGAATAACAAAGCTCTGTCAGCCAAGAGAATATCAATACCTAAAGACTAAAAGGTGAAGTGTGGCAACTACAGAATAGAGATAAAACACACTGATTTCAAAATTAGAGTAAGTAATTTTGAAATTGCTGGATGTTCCTAACTCAAATTCAGATGTTTATCTGACCAGTTTTTTTCTAGTTCCCAATGGTTACCGACCTTTAAGAAGGAAAGAATTTTGACAAATCTTATGATCTATTTTGCCAGAAACCAAGCTCTCTTATCTCAGGAAAAATTAGATATCTACCACAAAAGGAAGAACCACCTTATTTTTTCTTGCGTTTAAAATACTATTAAAAATGCAGTGAATAAAATACTGAAAGAACAAGAATGTGCCAGAAAAATGGGAAATCTCAAATATGTTTTCTCAAACACAGAATATTTTCACTGATAAGCAAAGATTTGAGAAGGTCAACAGGAAAGCAGCTTTCTGACTCCAATCCACCAGATACATTCTTCAGAAATTATTGAACTCCTCTATAACATTACATGAAATCTCAATTTTAACTTCATACTCCTGTTAAAGCATAAAACAGCATTTATAAAGTAATGTCACTGCAGATACCTGCAAAGTGCTGAAGATGTAACTGAGAGTTTTTACTGTATGATGAAGAAGGTTGACATGTTAATTCTAGAATGCTTAGTTGTTTGGTGTTAGAAAAATTTCATGATAAAGTTTTCCATCATCTTCAAAATGTGTAGAGTTAATAGACATCCTGATATTTATTCTTTTCTCGTGATTATTTGCAATTTGGTTTTGACTTTGGGAAGGTATCACACATTATTACTTCTAATGCACCATTAACAAGCTTTGGGGTTTTTTTAGTAAATGTAAAAGAGAAAAGCGGGTGTTGCTTCCATTCCCCCAATAATTCTCTTTATTACTGAACATTTAAAATTGCTTGGGGCCCATATTTTCTATCTGAAATAAACACAGAATTTTGAAAGCTTTTTAATGTCAAAGCATCGAGAAGATTTCCATGGTGTCTGTAAAAGCATAATGCCATGAAAGATAAGAGCAGTGTACCTTCATTCTGAAGCATATCAGTGTTTTTTTATTTCTAGTTCTGTGTGCTAGATATTTTGCTTATAATAGGAAGCATTTTTAAGAGTTTTTTTGGAATGGTTTGTCCTTTCTTGTATGGTTGCAAGTTTTCAGGTAATTTTCTTTTTGGGGGGAAGTCAATTTGGGTCTGCACAAACTTTTTCTATGGAAGTATCTCTCACCCAGCTACATCCTCTCAGAGACAAATAAGTGTATGCAGTATTCTTGTTCTCCTTCAGATCATGAATGTGAATTGTCAGTTCTACTTTCCCTCAGAAAACTTTCAAGAAAGTACCCAGCATGTAGTTCAATTTTTAGGTTTTATTATAAGGCTGACAATATTCTGTGTTAAGCAAAATGGATTTGAAGGCAGAAACTGGAGCAGTGATAAATGGGAGAAGTTTGAAGTTTTTATTAGCTTGACTTGGGAGACTAAAGTAAGATTATGGGTAATGATTTTAAATATCTCCATTGGAGTTCAAATTTGGCCAAAACAGCTCATTTTAATTTGTGTAAAGTAAGTATTCCTTATCCCCATTTGGTCTGAGTAGATTACAGTAAGCAGCAGGACGGGATACACATTTCATGTTAAATCACTCTGTTCCCTAGAGGGATTTGACTGAAAATTAAGCTGTGCCAGAATGTTGTTTATTACACATCACTACAAGAGTTTAAATCTGGCAGAAAGAAACAAGAACATTGTTATAAAATGGAAACCTGAGTTATTCCTGCCCATGAGAGGGGAAAAAAAGAACAAAACCAACTCTTACTGCAAAATCCATAGACTGGGTTTTGGGTTTTTTGTTTTATTTTGGGGTTATTGGGGTTTTTTGTTGTTGTTCGTTTGTAGTGGGATTTGTTGTTGTTGATGTTGGGGTTTTGTGGTTTTTATTTGGAAACTCATCACTTATAATGATTTCATATAAAAGTCTAAAGCTTAATGCAAATAGCAAAGATTCAGCTGTATAAAATAGGCAAAAAATCTTGAAATCAGTGAGTCTGCCAACTGCTACTACAGAGGAATTGAATGTTGCTGCTGTTTCACCATCTGTACCTGCTAATACCAGCTCCCTGTCAGAATGTCTTTGCTTCTTGGCACAAAGCCCATGTAATTTTTTCCTAAAGCCTCTCCTGCTTCTTGCAATTAAGATTATATTTTATTTTTTTTTTACTTAAATGAATGCAAATTTCTATAGAAGGTATGTATGTAAATCTTTAATATAAGAGTAGTAGCATCATATTTACTGCTGTGTTCAGGTTAGTTGCAGGAGAGAAATGACAGTAGTACTGTAAACAGGGTCTTCTTTAGATTTGAACACATTTATATTCAAAATTTCTTTGGCTAAATGTTTTCTTTGGCCATGTCTTCTATATCAAGATTACATTTAAATGCTGAACATCTTCAAACTACCCCAGTTACAAAGTAAAAAGATGGTGTATTGGTTTTTTTCTTCTTAACCACAACTAAAAATAGGAGAATGACCCCAGACCCCAGTCTTGAAATTTAGTGAGATTCTTGGAATATTAATGTTCTTCTGGGTGACAAAGATGAAGCTAATATAGAATAGGGAAATTTAGACAGTGATGTAGCTATTAAAATTGAGGCAAGTCAAGATGGAACTGTGTTTTAAGATGCTCATGTGAAGGGCAGTACATTTCTGTTAAACGTTGGTAGAATTCAGCATTCCAGTCTGTATTTGTGATTGCGTGGTGAGTTGGATGTTGACTTTCAAGTGGCAAACATAGAGGCAGCTGGATAAATGCAGCATAGGATTTCTATGTGCTATGTATGTGTTTATTTCCATTTTTTTGGCAAGAGATTGTGGTTTCATCAGTATCATTCAGTTACAAAAATTATTAAAGGTACTGCTCACCTAGAAAGTTCTGAAGAAGATATGGGGAAAGAAGCAAGAAAATAAAAGTCATCATGGAGCGAATCAGGGTCTAAAAACTGAAAAAAATTGCTCTCTCTTGAGATTTTGAGAGGGTTGACAAAATATATGAACCCTCAAAAATGCAATTTCCTGTAGAGACAGTTCAAAAGCTGCAGTACAATATAGGCCCTTAAAAGTCCTTCTTGTTGAAAAAGGCCATCACTGCTCACAGAAAACATGAAAATTAGCCCCTTGGTATGTTTAATTAAAGGCAACAGAACTGACATAATCTTCTTAGAGAAAAAAAATACTAAAGAATGCTGAGGAAAATGTCTGATGAAAATTGTCAATTGCTCTTAAGATTTCTTCATTGAACAAGCAGAACCTGGATTTCAGGCCTCATTGGAAAAGTCCATAGCAGATTTAGTAAAAAGCTCTGGAATCTGAGTCAGAAGAATGAAGGATTACACCATGCACAGGCAAAGTCCTTAGACTCACAGTCACTGAAAATGTAGAATTGAAGGAGATGAGGAACAATAGTTCATTTTTTTAAATACAAGGCTGCTTAGAAAAGCTGAAAATTACAATTTTCCTGAATCTTTTTTTGCCTCATTTTGTGCTGACCTGTAAAATACATGAATTGTAGAGGCTGGAATTGATCTCTTAAGATTATCTAGTCCAAGCCTAGTGGACTAAATCTTAAGAGAATCTGAGCTCGAGCTGATTACCCAGAAACTGTGTCCAGTGAGATCTTAAATGCTTCCCAAGTGGAGAGGCCATGCCCTCTCTTGGTGTGTCATATTAGATGTAAATAGATAGAAATACAGGTGGAGTTTTATTGTTCCCACCAATTGTTGCAAATACAGAATTGCATAAAAGTTTTGTTTGTATGGTACCTAAATACAAGGAAGGAGTATCTAAAGATACTCCTTTTTTAAATTTTTAAAAATATTTTCTAAAAATTAAATTGTTTTAATTTTTAAATATTTTTAAAATATTTTTATTTATTTTTTTAATATTTTTTTAATATGGTCAGTTTTGTGTTGGACTTCCTATTTATCAAAGTTGAAATTGGAAAATAGAAAACACTAAATGAGCCCTCCTCGCACATGCCCTTCTGTGGCCTGTCAATTCAAATCAAGTAGTAACTGAATTTGTTTGTTTTAAAAAGATGAGAAGCTTTACCATTACATCAATACTACAGTTTCTGAAAATTAGCAAGTCCTCAATGCTCTTTATGTCAGCTTAACTAAAACACTATAGTAAGAGAAGCTCACTGTAGCTAAATTATTGAGAAATGAAAGTATTCTAGTTCTGGAGGGATGAAGGCATGTTTACAGTCATTTTCTTTCAAAGAAGGGTGATTGCCTGGGATGTGCATTTAAGCATTGCCATAGCTCTGACTCTACCCTTTATGAACCTGAATAAAAAGAAAAATTGTGCTAATGATGTTTAATATATGATAAGCGATTCTTTGTATCAGATATATGAGATATACTGAAACTGAAGCAAAGAAAAGCAGTCAGTCCTTTTCTGTTCACTGACAGTGGGATTTTAAAT